GATTCAGATATATCTTCAAAAAAGATTAATAATAATGATAATAATCAACTTTTGCAAGATTCAAATATATCTTCAAAAAAGATTAATAATAATGATAATAATCAACTTGATCCAAAAATTAAAACAACAGATGATCAATTAATCATAAAGAATATACAACCTATTCTTCAAAATAATGAACCTCAAGATATAGTTTCAACTACAAAAGAATTAGAATCAGTTTTGAAAACATTATTAAAAGAAGAAGAAGAAATTCCACCAAGAAAAGGATTTTTAAGAGTGAAAACTCTTGCAGAGCTTAGAGATCCTATAAAATTAAATAAACTTGATGATCATGTTATTCAAAATGCTGGTGATTCTATCAATCATTTTAAAAGTCATAATATTTTGGATGAAAATGATAAACAACATAAAATTAAAGAAAAAGACTTATCTTCAAAACAATTTATAGATTTTACTTCGAACAAATTTGAGAAATCATTATACGAAAAAACAACGCAATCTCAAAAAAATTCAAATATATTACCATTGTCTTTATCTAATTCAAATTATTCACAATTAAATGTCTCTGAAATTCAACCATATAATACAGTAATAAATAATCAACAACAGCAGCGATTACAAACAAACATAAATCAAAATAAATATTCATCTTCTTCACAAGAAGTAATATCAGAAGTAACATCAATAAACCATAAAAATTTACCAACTTACGATATTGCTCGAACAACTACAACTATACCACATTCTATTTTGAAGAGTAATGATGGATCTAATAAAATTGTAAAAACTATTAATGTACAGCAAAATGTAAATATAGCACATACAACGTCTTCTTCTATTAATAAAAATGATCAAATGTCTTCTTTCAATAATACAATTAATTCAAATCAATATAAATGTCATTATTGTGATTTTTGTACAGATAATTTATCAAACTTGTTAAAACATAACTTACCAGGTAATCATATTAGCTGTGAAAAACAATATTTACAACATAGTGAACAGAATAAAAAACTCAAAGAACTTGATAATTTACAAACAAAGACAAGAATTATGCAAAACCAAAATTCAAGTTATAAACAATTTCAACAATCAAATATAAATCAATCAGGAATTAAATATACTTCTTTGCCTACATGTTATCAATATCCTTATATTGCTACAAATAATTCAGATAAAAGTACTCCAATATTTAAGCAAAATCAGTCAATAATAACTAATCAATCGATAACAGAAAATGTTTCTTCTCTTTATTATAAAAATTTAAATCATAACGCTGGTGGAATAGTGATGAATCAAGTTGTTCCTGCTATACAGAACATACCAACAATAGAATTTATACAACAACCAACACAGCAACAAATATATCAATCACAAGTTTACAATGAACCAACAACAATTATAGATGCTCAATATATGCAGCAATCACAGGTATATGGTGATTCCAATCATACATGAATAATTAATTCTTTAAATTGGATTATTTTTGTGGATTTCGTCGCTTTGGAAATAATATGTAATAATTTTATTAATATGGATCAAGACAACCCAACAATGATTTTAATTACAAAAACTAATTTGTAATTTTAATTTTGTAAACCAAAATTGATATTACTTAATCTATTATAAGCAGCGAATAGATCTACTTTTCCAATTTAAAGAATTATTAAAATCATTCTTAGTATCAAATATATTTTTATTTCCTAATTCTTTACTTACAGAATTTAGTAAATTTTTCTGATGTTTACCAAATGACGAGCAATCAATATGAAGTAACTAAGCCAAATGTTACAACTTATGAAATTCGATACATATGTTCTTATTGTACGAAAAAATTTATTTCTGAAGATTTATTGCAGTTGCATATGAATATTTTTCATAATTTTGTATGTAATATTTGCAATTTGCGTTTATATAATTTTAATGATTTTAATCTTCATAAAATTAAACATACGATATATTAAGTTCAAAATGTTACTAATTTAAAATAATAAATATAAAATATTAAGAGATACATTTATAGTTTGATATTTATACATAAACATTGTATAAATATGTGAAAATTATATATCTTAAGGATATAATTGTAATTGCATGATATATAATTTTCTGTAAAAATACTGTATTAAGCTGCAATAATTATTAATTAATAATAATTATTAATTAATTATGCACTGAATGAATTAAGTAATAATTTAATATTATATTTTTGATTTTTAATTTATTTATAAGAAAATATATTTTAATATTTTATTAATAATATTTTCATAATAATCTAAATATCTTCATTATTGTAAAATTACATTTATTTTAATAAGGTTTAATTTTTAATAATATTTTATCATCACATCATATTTAAATAAAAAATATATATATATAATTAGATTTAAATATATTTCATATTTAAACGATATGATACAAATAGCATATCATATTGGAATATACAGTAAAATAAAATTTTAATTACTTTTATATTAAATAATTTATTTAATTCAAATTTCATTATTCTAATAAGAAATAGATATGGGAAGAATCAACTATTATTATATAAAATTTATTTACATATACAAACTATTTGTCTTCTAATAGATTCAAATAAATAATCTATTGTAATTAGATGAGTAATAGTATTATATGAGATACAAAATATTTTTATATCTTTAAAGTATTTCCATTATAATTTTAATTGTTAATATCGATACCAACGAATAAATATTATGAAGAAAGGAAATTAAATAGATGATTTTTAAATATAAATAAATATTAAAATAATATACATGTATTTCCCTTTATTCGGCACTTTGAGCTTTATATTTTTTTTTTACAATAACGTTTCGATTTTTATAATCGACAAAGTCATAAATTGAGATACAATCATTGGAAACATATTCCGATATTTAAAATGATTATAAGGATATAATCATTCAAAAATGAATCGATTTGAATTGATGATTGAAGTTAATTAATATGCTTATACTGTCATTTGTCATTATTAAGTCCTATCTACCGATTATTAGGTTATAGTTTTTCCAACAATTGTATTTCAATTTGTGCAATTACGGTAAACATTGGATAAGTGCTTGAAAATCAAAATCCAAATTAAATATTAATGAACAAAATATCAATTTATATCGATTAAAATTATAAATTTCTTTTTAAAATAAAAAAAATAAGCGAAAAAGAATAAAGACTGAAAATAAACATATGGAATGTCATAGTGCATTAAATAAGTATTTACGCCCAATAGTTAGATTTGACAACTTATTCAATGTTTACTATATTGAAGTACAAATACAAATAAGACAATAGTTACGAGCAACCAGAAAGAAATAATTTCGCATTTTCTTATGCTTGCTCTTAACTATTGCAAAGAATGATTTTTACGTGAATTACTAATTGTAAAAGTTAATTGGAATCTCATTTTATGTACTTTTTTAAAGTTATTAGCAATTCGAAGGATTTCTATAAAGATAAGCAAAAATCACGTAACTTGAAGTTAGATGATAGAGAAAAAAATGGAACTTTTCATTACGCGATTTTTTCTTTTTGTAAATTAATTAAAATATTCAAATCCTACGCTTTGCTCGTAACTTGCATTAACGCTTCGAGCTTTTAATTGTATTTATTAATCTTATGTATTATGTATTAATTATCTTAGTTTTTAATATTAAATAAAAAAAATTATAAATAATTATGAGAATGAAAATTTAACAACAAAAATAATAATATTTATTTAATAATAAATATTTATTATTAAAAATATAATTTTTAAATATTGAAAAAGAGCTCGAAGCGTTGATTATTACACGAGTTGTACAATCCTATTTGAGCGAAATGTGATGAAAAATATTCTTTATAATATTTGGAAAAAATATTCATATCGATCTTGAATAAATTAAAATATTCATAAGAAAAAAAACTTATAAATTTATTTCATCATATAAAGATATTAGAAATTTATTTTTTTTTTTTTTTCAATTGGGAATGAAGAATTGAGTTTAATTTAAGTTAAAAGATTGTTTAATTATGCCCAATAAGGGTTGAATCGAGACAATCGATTACGATAATAAACGATCCTTAAAAGGCAAGCCTATATAATTTATTTGTGTATCGGTATTATAAGCGTACGTATGCAGTACACTTTATTTATTTATCCTAAAATTTGGCACGTGATTCACGTTTCAACACAATTTGTTTATTGTGTCGGCAACTCGAAAGAACAAAATGTTTTTCATATTCATTTTACAGTGCATTTTACGTGACGATATATGATATAAAGCTAAATGTTAATGGAGATTTATACTTAAACCTTGAACATAAAAGGCGGAAGGCTACTCACTATGTCGTAACTATGTATTTGAAAATCTTATAAAAGAATAAAAAAAAATCAGGTTAAATAACAATTAATTTTAAATTAAGCTTAACTTTAAATTTGATTTTAAATAAGGTTTTTTTTATTATGGATTAAAAAAAAAGAAAAATTAAAAAATTTTACTTAAGCTAATTTTAATATTAATTCTTTTTTGTTATTCATAATTAAAATTTAAAATCAACGATGAAATTCAAAAAAGAAAATGAAATTATAACATAAATAGTAATAATTTTTAAACATGTAAAAAAAATCGCAAATACATAGTGCGAATAGTATATTATATTATGAATAAGTCTATCTTAACAATTAAGTATCACTACGAAAGACCATAGGGGTCCTTCACGAGGCTTGTCCCCCAGGAATCGATTGTTAAGTTTCGAATCCTTTTCTGTATATTTTAATAATACTGATATAGGTTTTCGACGTTCATCTCCCGACGTTTATAAGATTTTAATCATTGTTTTTATAAAAATACGGAAAATTAAAAAATCGACATTCTAACAAAAAAAAAAAAAAAAAATAATAATAATAATAATAATAATGATAAGATATAATGGATAGATGAAAGAAATTGAAATTATCATCTTATACTGAATTTTTAAAAATAAAAAAAAATAAAATTATTAAAAGAATCCAATTAATTAAGATTCTAATTAAGAGTTTCAAATTCGTATATGAATTAAATATAATATTAAAATTCAATATATCATATAATTAAGAATTCTAAATCTAAATTTCTAGAAATCTAGAAAATTTAATAAATTTTTTGCCTTGAATTTGAACTTGCTTTTGAATTTTAACTTTGAATTTAAATTTTAAATTTAAAAAAAAAAAGAAAAATTAAATTTTAAAAAATATTTAGAACTTCTTGATTTCATTTATCATTTGTATATTATTAAATAGATGCTATAACTACTTCTATCCATTCTCCGCATTAGAACCTGTATAATGAAAAAAATTCAAAACCGAGTTGTTTTCAATCAATTAAATTAATTAAATGATCAATTATTTTCTTTAATCGTACATATGTATGTATATATATATATATCAAAATACCAAAGATTGGAAAAAAAATCTAATTATAAAATTCTTTTATCCCATAAAATCGCATAATTAAACTGATTTCTCTCTATAATTGTTTTTTTTTTTCTTTTTAAGAAAAATACCAATGATAATAATATCACACGATTCCGTGCGAAAGATCGAATGGGTTTACTCTACGAAAAAATTTTTTTTTTCTTTTTTTTTTTTTTGCCACATATGGTATTGAGCCAATGGAGGTTTCGTATATAACAGTAAGTTTTCTCGCTATCGTTACATCGGTTGACACGTGAGAGAAACCTCCATGTATATGTGTGTGTGTATGTATGCGCGCGCATGCGCGCACGTGTGTGTACATCGTACAGCTACAGTTTACGGTTTATTAATCCTACAAGACTAGATGTATAATCGGTGGAAAAATATCGTTATTCTTCATCAATCGGAATATCATAAATTTACGCACGTAATACATTGGACGTTCTATATCCAGCAGCTTAATCTTCCCTCACGAGTACGAAAAAGTAGGTTGAGCGACGAAACTCTTCACATCCCTTTTCTCTTCCACCTACCTGACTCGTTTCCGGCTCGAAGGAAAATAACACTTGTCCCTTCTCCTTTTCTTTTCCCGAGAACGTAACAATGAATTTTTAACAAATGATTAAGCAAATTCAAGAATGAAAAACATCACACAATCCGAGAGAATATAAATTTACAAAAAATCCTTATAGTTTTGAAATTATAGAGATTCAAGTGAGAGAAAGATGTTTATAAAAAAAATAAAAAATAAAAAATAAAAATGTATTCCGAGTTCTGTTCAATTTTGAAATTTTTCTTCGTGCTGGAAACGAAATTGAAGAATGGCTTCGAGTAGCGAAGCTCATGCTGCTGCTTCTATTTTTCTTCAACTATCCCTCACTTCTCGCTCCTTTACTTTTTCTGGACATTAGAAATGGCGGAGCGGCGTTACACCAATTCTCTCACTGTGTCACAGCTAAAACTCGACTAAAGCTACGTATCTCGTACATAATTATCTAAATACATAATTGTGTTTTTCAAAGATTTCCCTCTTTTTTTTTTCTTTTTTCTTTTCTCTTCTCTTTTCCCCCCGCTTTCATACACGCGAACTGATCGAAGATCCTTGATTTAATATCAATCGCTCTATCTACACAATCACGCAAAAGAGATGATCACTTGTTCGCTCTTGGATTTTCTTTTGTACAAAAAGAAAAATTAGTTACTTTCTGAAAAACCGTTTATCGGTTATTTCGGTCCTCTGGATAGAATCAGTCTGAGAAAGGGAATTCAACGGACTAGAAAATCACTAGAAAATCACTATAATGACTAGAATTTTTTTTCGGGAAAAATGTACGTTCTTAATTTCTGTCTCTCTTTCTCTCGTTTCATCCAACGCTAATTTGTGTGTTAATATTTAATTATCGGAATTAAAATTATCGATCACATTTGTGAAATTCATTTTTTTAGATACTTGATTTCAAGTCGAGAAAAATATCATGAATCGCGCAAGATATTTCCAAAATTTCAATTGTAGTCCTTTACTTTTGGTAGAGAAAGAAATGGCAACAAGTGAATCGCGGTATGAATCTTTCGATTGATTTTTTTCTTCCTCGGAAATTTCCACATTAAAATACGAAGAGTAAGAAAATTTATTGGATGAAAGTGGAACAACCTTGAAACAGGTGAATAAAGATGAGTTGAAAAAGCTCGCAATTTTTCAATGGGATGTTCACGTGTAAATACGAGATCGAAAAATTCGGCTGTTTCCACGATTCATCCAATAAATCTGATAAAATGTAATGACTTTTCGGCTCCACGAGTGAAATATTAGTCGCTCCGACCGAAACTTGTCTCGTTTATATCTAATATCTACGATCGTTTTCTGACCGTTCGCTATCTATGTAAAACCTTATCGTTATCTTAATTTCTCTAAAGATGAGCTTTAAGGATATAATTCCATCGTCAATTTGGCCGAAAACAAATGATTCTTTCGAAAGAAGCGAAAACGAAAGTTATGGACGGACCGTTTGCGGTTTTCAAATAATTCGTAATTAAAACGACGTAACCCCAACAATATTTGAGGTTATGTACACGAAAGATCGTCGTTAAATTGCGTTTCCAAATCTCTTCGAATCTTTAACAAATCAAGTGGCTCGGTTATAGATATCGTATCACGACGTAACACAACAATTAAACTCTTCAAATCTTCGTTATTTCCAATTTTCTCTTCTCGTCACTAATTTTACACAGATTCTCATCGGGTCAACTTGTCTTCGCAATACCGCAAACGGAACGACGTAAAAATTCAAATTCCTTGCGAATAAATTTGCGTACAATCTTAAAAAAATTATGAATTAGTAAAAAAAAACTTAGATAATAAACTCCCTAGTAAATAAGAAAAGTCGTAAAAGTTGGGCAGTGGTAAAGTTGTACGACCATTGGAGAAAAATATATAGGATCGTATAGATAAAAAAAGACACGATCGGGCATATCTTTCTCGCGACTCGATTTTTGGGGGCGATAATTCGATTGTCCTCTCGTCTTTCCTTGGTCCTTCCTTTGCTTACAACTTTCTAAAACCTGCTGACCGCCTCGTCGTCGGTCACAAAGTAATTGGAATTTTTCACAGCCGAGCTATACATGTTGTAAGTGGGGCTGCACACTACGAGCCCGGTCATACAACCGCTCAACTCTTTCTCGTTCGTCATGGAACCGTGTCGTGCGATCGTCGACGTTCTTCTGTCCTTCTTAACCAGTGTCATGCGGCAATCCTCGGAACGCAGTGGCATGGATGGATAGGTCGGTTGCCTGGCAAGTGTGGTCAGTGCACGGTCTCCCGTATCGTTGAAGCTGCGCAAACGTTTGAACGTATAATCGGAGAGGGGTGTTCGAATAACGAATCGTGGATAGATTTCGTGGTGAATCTTTCTGTTTAAGCTCTCTGATTAACACTGATTAATATTGTATATTATATAATATTATTATATTATATATATTATATATTATAAAAATTATTATGTATATTATGTATTATATAAATTATATAGATACCTGTGATGCCTGACGATGCCCCTTTTAATCCTGCAATGTTCATTCCCACCCTGTCCCTCCAACGCCGTTCCATGGGTTTTGCACGCCTCCACTCCCATAGGAACGGGGGAAAGGGAGCCAGGCCCGTAAGAACCGCTGCTCTGCCTTCTGTCCAATATGTGGACAAGTTCGACCGACGGTGTCGGTGAGAACGTGCCCTAAAGACGCTTTATATCAAACTTCAGCTTTCTATTCTATGCGTGTACCACACAACGAAACACCGCGATAAAAGTACAAGAGAAAAAAAGGAAGGGGAAACTTTGCAAAACTTAAAAAATATTCCTCTTCTTCAAGAAAACAGGAACGGGGACAGTTGATGAGAGGAATTACTAGAAAATCAAAACTTGTTTTTGGTAAAAAAAAGAAAAAGTTTAATCCAACAACAATACAAAATCAACATAAACCAATTTTATAATATAACCAGAGAATATATATATATATATATATAAAGAGAGAGAGAATTTAAAATAATAATAGAAAAGATAGAATGTAGGAATCATAAGGAAGTGACGTTGGATTCGCTCACCTGCAACGATGGCCTCCTCAATGTGCCACCTTCCATACCAACCAGTTTCACGCCTTTCACATTTTTCTTAACGTTAATCGTGGTTAACATGTTGTCCGGGACAGTTTGAAATTCCGTGGTCCCCCTGTCCACGACACTGTGCCTCTCGTTTTCCCTTGTTTTGTCATTCACCAAGGATACAGGATCCTCGATTTTAGCGTAATGAGCATCCGGCGTGATAGGAGTGGTCATAGTCGAATTGGCTGGAACATTGACCATGGCCGGGTTGTTGCACGGGGCTATGATTGGTGGACGATCCGCTGGCAACAACATCTGGCCCATCGAACCTCTTAGATTTCGTACGCCTAATATTTGACCTCTCGAGACCTCGTTGCTTTGTATAGGGGCATATTGATTGGGGGTCGGGGTGTGTCTGCCGCTGATCGAGCTCGCGTGAATGGAATTTCTCAATGTTTGAAGGTGTTGCAGGCTTTGGTTCGCCTTTTGGGCTGCCGTTCCAATGCTGTTTATATGCTTTTTCGGGGTTTCTTTCTCGTATAGGTCGCCGGTTATGGTCCCGTTGTCCCTTTGATCGGTCACATCTTCGACGGAGTTAGTTGTGGTGCGGTCGTCGTCGTAGCTTCCAGGCCCGATCCCATCGCAAGAATCTATTCCTGAGGTAGATTTCTGAGGGAGATTTTAATTTTTTATTTCTTTTTCTTTCAATAGTTAGTTTTCTTCTAAAAGACATAAAGAGGATACTTTAATGGAATTTTTCAAACGAAAAGAAAAAAAACTCACATTGACGGAAGAAGTGTCCATGAGAGCTGCGCCCGAGCTGCTCTGTACAACTCCCGATTGGTCCTTCGATTTCCCGGGTGAATAGACGCTAAGAACGTCGCAACATCGAGGAAAGTAACCTTTCCCTAGAAGATTTCTCGTGAAGAAACTCGTCACGAGTTGGGTGCACAGAGCCACTAGCATGGCCCCAGTGCGGAATGGGAATTTTTGTGATTGCGTTTCTACGTCATAAAATGGGTATTCGATCAGTGCCGGCACACCCAATCCTTTTTCTCCGCCTACGGTAAAGAATATTTTCGAGATGAATTATTATTAAGATGAAAACATTTTTAAGGATAAATTTTCTTTTTTACAAAAATTATTATTACGTTAATTCCAATAAAAGTTTATAGATATTGAATCGTATCACAAAATTGCGTTTTTGTCGATCAAAATATGAGCCTATTGGCTTTAACGATCTTTTCTCAACGAGATTCCAACTGATGTATTCCATTTTTGTAAAACTTCGTAATTTTAGACGCGAAAAAATTCTTCGAATGCGATTACAGCTTCTTCAGTGTCGAATATTTTTAAAACAATTGTAAATGGTGAAATAAGTGATAATCGGTTAAAATGATGAATATGGTGCTTTGTGTTGTATGTCGAATATGTTGTCATGCAGAAGAATAGGTTATGGTGTCTCCTTGTTTCAGAGAATTATTTTCTTTACAGACTACCATAGTCACTATAACTTTTTTCGTTCGTAATAATGATTTCAGCATTTGTTTAGAATTTTTATTAGTGTCCAATCATTATCCAGATCGTGTACGAAGTTATAAATCAAAAATGGATTTCTAATGTTTCGAACTTTACACTTTTAAACACTGCAACTTTTGATCCTCTGTCGGTTGGTGCGGTACCCACTTTTCCAATTTTTTCACTTTATCCATTGCACTGAAACATCTAAATCTCACAACTGTCATCTGAGATACGTGCTCTGCTTTTGTTTTGGCTTTCAATTTATCTTTGTTTAATATAAATTTTAATCTACTTCGCTCATTTTCAAGATTCTCATTTGCAGATCTGAATTTTTGAAACTACCATCGAACGGTCCTCTCAATAATAGAATCTTCTCCGAAAGCTAACCTAATATTTCGATATGCTTGCATTGTGACTCAGCTTAAACTCGTACAGGAATAATATTCTAATATTCATTTACTTTTCAAAAAACAGTTAAATTAATATAAAAAAGAACTTATTAAAAAATAAGGAAATATAAAATGATAACGTAAAATATCATAAGCAAAATATAGGTTAAGTAGAGTTTACAAGTCGCATTTGTTATAATTGTCATTTGTTTTAAAATTAGGAACTTTATCTGTGTTACGATCTAATATATAAAAAATATTCTATTATTCTTACCGCAAAGACGTAAAACAACAGCCACGAAGTAACCAGCCAGACATCCATACGTGTCAACCAAAGAGGGCCAATGGACAACAGTTAACAATTGAGGGAAGAGCACCACGTAAACAAGATCAGAA